TTGCAGCAGGGACTGTGTCTTACGCTAGGATATAAGGAAGTAGGACTGAAAGGGACATAATGAGATCATCTACTTCAGCCCTCAGAGACTCAAGGCAGGATCATCACTGAACAGGAGTGGATCCAGGGCATTGCAGTGGCATGATCATATCTCCCCTTCACTGTAAAGGTCACCTGCTGATGGCTCCATTTCTCTGTGGCCCCTGATGTACTAGATACAGGACTGGAGCCCAAAGACCAAAAGGGGAACAGGCAAGGAAGGATGAGACTCACCTTCTGCCGCTGCTGCCCCCAGCTGTCTCAGAACAGGGGAAGCCTTATATTTGGTCCTGCCCTGCTGTAGCCAGGGAGCAACTGCACAGGGTGCCAGGTTCTTGCTCCCTCTTTCTCCACTATGTTTCCCCTGCTGACCCAGTTGCAGGGAACAGTTGCACGGGTGAGGGATCAGTGGCATCAATGGGCTATAACCTTCTTCCAACACTTGCTTCCAGACCTTGGAGGACACCAGGAGGCAGCAGGAAGCAGGAGTGGCTAGAAGTGGGGGATCACCCACTGTCAATGCCATCCCCAGCCCTGCCCGGCACTCCGTGCAGTTGTTCCCCGCAGCTGGGGACCCCACGCCAATGGAGGAATTGTAGTGGAGGTTGAGGGCTCAGGGACTCAGCACCCAGTGCAGCCACTCCCCCGCAACCCCTGGTTGGAGCAAAGGAGGAGGGCCCTGGGGCTTCTGCCCCCCCGCCACCTCCAAATCAACTGGAGACAGCAGCAGCAGTGGGCTTCCAGGCACTACTGTTCCCTGCTCTCCCCTCCACCCCAGTGTCTCCTGGGGGTGCAGGAAGGGGAGATCTACCCAGTGCTGCCCTGTCCCCCCAACCCCTGCTGGTGCTCACCAAAGCACCCACCTGGAGAAAGGCAGGAGCAACTCTGGAGCTCCCCTGCCCTGGGTCAGCTGAAAACAGCCAAAGCAGCAGGTGGGTCCTCCATTCTTGCACCAGAAGTAACCCCTCTTGGAGCGGGGGAGAGGGGAAGGGGAGGGCATGGGAGCTGCTTTCTTTGGAGGCAACAGGGTGCCAAGAAATGTTGGGGGAGTCTTACCTTTTTCCCCCAGCAGCTGCCCTGGTGAGGTCTGCTGGGGGTGGGGAGGCACCACAACCTCCCCTGCCGCACCGGTGGGGGCATCATTCACACCCCTCTTTTCAAATTCCTGGGTCTTCCCAGGTTCCTGACTAAACCATCCCACCCAAGTATCTGTCTAACCTGCTCTTAAAAAATTGATGGACAGAGATTCCACAATTTTTCTAGGTACCTGTTCCAATGCCTCACTGCCATCATAGTCAGAAAGTTCCTCCTGATCTCCAAGCTAAATTTCTTCTGCTGCAGTTTGAGGCCATTGCTTTTAGTCCTGTCCTCTATGGTCACAAAGGAAAAACCTCTCCTTCTCTCTATAATCACTTTTCAAGTATTTAAAGACTATTTTCAAATCCACCCTTAGTCTTCTCTTCTCCAGACTAACTAACCCTAGTTTTTTCAACCTTTCCTCATAAGTCATGTCTCACAGGCCTCTAATCATTTTTGTCATTCTCCACTGGACTCTTTCCAATCTATCCAGAATCTTCTTGAAGTGTGGAAGCCAAAAGTGGACACACTAATCCAGGGGAGGCCTCGCCAATGCCACACAAAATGAAAGAATCACTTCTCTTAATTTGCAAGAGACACTCCTCTTAATACAAGCCAGTATGCTGTTGGCTTTATTTGCAACAAGAGCACACTGTTGGTTCATATTCAGCTTACAGTCCACTGTAACCATGGGTCCTTCTCTGAAGTACTGCAACCTAGCCAATCATCCCCCAATCTGTATATGTGCATGCAATTATTCTGTCCCAATTGCAGTACTTTGCACTTCCCCTTGTTGAATTTCATCTAATTGATTTCAGACTTTTTCTCCAGTTTATCCAGGTCATTCTGGATTCTAGCTCTACCCTCCAGAGTGTCTCCAGCTCTGCTCAATGAAGTGTTATCCACAACTGTTCTATACATGCAGTCAATTTTGTCATCCAAATCATTAAGGAAGATGTTAAACAATACTGGATCAAGGACAGAGCCCTGGGAAACCCTGCTTAATACCTCCTCCCAACTAGACATTGAGCCACTGAGCATGATGATCCAACCAGTTTTGTATCCACTTTACAGTACTTCCAACTGCTCTGTATATCCATGTTTGTTAATAAGAATGGTGTAGGAGACCATGTCAAAAGCCTTACTAAAGTCAAGGCATATCATATCCACTGCTTCCCCCCCATCCACAGAGCCTTTCACCTTATCATAGAAGGAAATCAAGTTAGTCAGGCATGACATGCTCTTGGTGAATTCATGCTGACTCTTTCTGATCACCTTGGGCACCTATACATGCACAACAAGGTTGCTCTAACGTGCTGTAATTACAGCATGTCAGACCAGACTCAATTAATCGAGTCTGTTGGAGTGTGGCAATTACCATGCTCCAGCAGACTCCAGCATCTCATGTATTAGCATCCCTGCACTGAAAAATGGTGGCAGGGATGGTGACAAGCTTTAGTTAAAGTGCCCCTGCTGCCATTTTTCAGCACAGGGATGCTGATACATGAGACGCTCCAGATGCTTTAATCAAAGCCACCCCCATACTACACACACACACACACACTCCTGACACACACGTATAAATGCCCCTTGTTCTCCTCAAAGTGATTCAAATAGTTTCCTTGAAGACCTGCTCCATGATCTTTCCAGGGATAGAGATCAAGTTAACTGGACTGTAGTTCTCAAGATCCTTCTACTTTCTTTTTTAAAGATGGGCACTAGTTTTTACTTTTCCCAGTCATCAGGAACCTCATCTGACCTTTGTGAGTTCTTAAAGAGGATAGCTAATGTTTCTAAAATTCCCTCAACCAATCTCTAACTTGTTCTTCCACTGCTGTAGTGTGTTTGTCTCCTTTCTTATCTTTGCTTCTAGCTGCACTTATCATCTGGTAGCTGATCTTATTCATGGAGACTGAAGTAAAAAGGACATTAAGTACTTCAGCCTTCTCTGCATCATGCATAACTAGTTTGCCTTCTGCATTCATAAGGGACCTAGGGGTTCTTCGGTCTTCCTCTTATTTTTCACATACTTCTAGATTCTCTTTTTATAAACTTATGTCCCTTACCAGTTGCATCTCAAATTGTGCCTTGGCCTTCCTAATTTTCTCACAGTGTGCCTGTACAATATTCTTATACTCTTCCCTAGTACAGGCAACCTCTGTTTAATGCGGTTTCGCTTAGCACTATTTCGCTAGAGCACTTATTTAAAATTCATACCCAATTTCACTGAGCACTCAGCCAGTTTCATTATAGCGCTCAATGGAATCAGCGAGTTTTGGCAGGGGTGGGGGGAGAAGCAGCAGCAGCAACAAGAAGTGGTGAATGGAGCCCATGCCAGTGCCCTGGGGCCAGGGCCCGGCAGGGGCCCACCGTGGGGTGGCAGGAGTGCGGACCCCGGGTGGCATGTGGTGCTGGAGCAGCCAACAGGTAAACAAATATAAAAAAAACTGAGAGGAGGATTCGAAATTTATATTAAAATCCTTCATTCTATTATGTACTTGAGCCCAAAGTAGGACAGGAATCCAAACACAGGACTTGAACCCACCCTCTACCACTCAAGAGAGGGTCCAACTAGACCATAGAGTCTCATAGGGAGAGCCCCTCCAGTCTCTCTTGTTGACATTGTTTCACCTCATATAAAATATTCAAACATTCATTATGCAATAGAGGGTGCTGGTAAAAATGATTCTATGGCTCAATGGCTAGAACAGCCACCCACAAGACAGGACACTCGGATTTCAATGCCTGCTCAAATGAATAATCAAACTAAATTCGCAAATTCTTCAAGGATTATTGAAACCCGATATTTTAGCAAGTAAGTTTTTTGACAACAGAATTCACCCTTCCCTATGAGAAAAAGCTCCAAAGACAATATGGAGATATAGGGTCTCTTAGCAAATGGTCCTGGCTCCTTGCACATCCCACTGATTTGGTGGGGTGGAGCCCCATGCTTATATCCCTTATATCCCCTGGTGATAAAACACTGTCACCAATGGAGCAGCACTGAGGAAACGCTGAGGTAGGCATCACACAGTTTCCAATTTTCTGTGGATGGTTTATCTCATGCAGGGGGTAAGCTAGCCTCATACTACAGTGTAGGATTATAATTTTCATACCAGGGCTTTTTACTGTGCTTGGTCTGCACTGGTTATATTTTTCTTCTTTATGCATCTCTCTTCTTAAGCTGGAAATTTCTCTGTACCTATCAACTTTCCCAAATGAATCATCTTTTTGTTTCGCTTTATTGATTTGTTTTCCGGAAGTATTTTCTTTTCTTCATCATGTTTTATTTATCTGCCAATGTTCACATTTTTATCCCTAGAAACCTTTTCACTTGGCTTTTTTGTTTGTTTGTTTTTCTTCTGTGTTTGTCTACAGAAAAACAACTTGCAATTCTATAGCAATTCTTTATACACCCAAACATCCCAAAGTGCTTTACATTTAATTATACACTCATAGCAAAGTGACTGTGACAAATGTGGCCTTTGGGCCCTCCAGGAAGTAAAAGAAAAGAAAGCCTTCCCACAGTCAGGCTATATGCATACATGCACATGTGTGCACACATAGACAGATATGCGCGCGCGCGCGCACACACACACACACACACACACAGAGCGCAGCTGTCTTGCAAATGAGCAACTGCAAGTTCTACATGTAACGTGCTGAAGACTTTAAGGAATTCAATTAAGAGCATAAGAGAAACGCACTCTTTTATTTTCCCCAATAGAAGCAAAGCATGAGGTAGGAATTCACCACAACCTTAAGCAAATTACTGCTAATTAGCTGCTCCTTGTAACTGCTTTTTCACCCAGTGCATTAAAAAATAAATGTGTAGTTAAAACAAACAGAGCTATAAGGACATATATTTAGTTCCTTTGTACTTACTGTATTACTTCTTTCTTCCTCTTCTAGGAAATATTATCATTTCCCATTGTGATAGCACATAGAATGGCTCACTGCTAAGAACGATGAACTAGAAAGGCAATCCAAAAAAAGTTAACTTGGAAACAAATCCAACTGGCATTTATGAAATCTTAAGTCTGTTTTAATAATAAAATACTATTATACTTGCCTTTGGTGTCTCACTCCCTTATGGAGAAAACAACAGAAGAATCATACATGGAGCACTTTTTCTGATTTCTATATAATTTATTAGTGGTTGCAAGTTGCTGACTCATGCCCTTAGTCACAGGATATTTTCTGTGACCAACTGACCAAGAAATTGAACAACCTATTTAAACTGATCATCTCCAGACCTTTGACCCAATAGCATGTGGCAGCCATTTTACATTAGACTATATATGAAGGTTTGCAATTATTGCCAACTAATTTTCTTTGTAGTAGATTTTTGGAAGCAAAGCCAAGGAGAAATACAACAACAATACTCTGCACTTCTCAAGTGCTTTCTCTATGGGAATCTACAATTGCATAGTACTACTTAGAAGACTTCAAGCATTTGTTATCCTCATTTTATTATTCCCATTTTATAGACACAAAACACTGAGACAAAAGACAGTTACAGCAGGGCTAGATATAACAACTAGACCTCTGGTCTCCCAAATCTATAATTTTGTACTAAATTATTTTTTTCCTGAATTGATCTCCTAGAAGGCCTCAACCTGTCATGTCAAGCACAGGGGTAATAAGATTTATTGCAAAATGTACCGCAGTCTAAAAGCAAAGAAACTCTTGTTTCTTTCTTCACTTGCTACATACTTTTACTCTTCATGAACAAGTATTCACTGGCATCTTCTTGAAACACACACAGTTAAATTATATAACTGTATTACAATGGGTATTTTTTACCATTTTATACTATAGTAAACATAGGGGTCATAAAGGGCACTTTTACAAGTGCTCCAGAGGTAAGAGGGATGGTGCCCTAATTAGAGCGGCTCCAAGGTCCACTCTAATTAAAGCACTGCCAAGTCTCCTGTATCAGCATCCCCGCACTTAAAAATGGCAGCAGGGGTGCTTAAACTAAAGCTCACTGAAGGCTGGAATGCTGATACACGAGACACAGGAGACTACTGGAGCAGGAGGTTGCTGGAGCACAGCAATTGTCACACACTCCAGCAGACTTGATTAATCAAGTCTGCTCCAAGGTGCTGGAATTCCAGCATGTCAGAGCAGCCTCCACCCTCATGTACAGGTGCCCCAAAATGCTTATATTTTGATAAGCAGTCTGAGAGGCTAAGGAACGTGGCACTAAGACCATGCTGCCTTTCAAGTAACCAGGCTTTCAGGAAAGTATTGAGGCAAGCAGAACTCAGGATATACATGTCCCAAGCTAAAGCTGAACCCAAGATTCAGAGTTTCTTAATTACAGAATTGTTATGTTGGCATACAATAAATGAAACTAGCAAAATACAAGCAAAGAAAAGATTGCAGTATAAAAAAGACCATGATCCTTATACCTTTAGGTCCCTGTTCCTGACAGGCATGGAGTACTCACCGCTCTAGTAATACCAGAATTTAATGGGAACTGTTTTTCACAGCACCTGCCATAAATTGGCCATAGATTTCTACAAACTATGGAAAACAAAGCAAAGATATAAATTATTATGTAAGGAGTACACACAGTTTTCAACTTATTCACTACATGCTTGGTCTTAACCAACCATTATTACCATATTTAAAAGCTGTGTGTGCTTATTTTCTTTTTACCTACAACAGATGCTCTATCATCAAACACAACATAGACCAGTGCTTATAGCAGCTATACAGTTACAAGCACTGGGTTTCATTTTGGTTAGCGTTTTCAACCATCCTCATACCATGCTGTCAGAAATATCAATGAAAGATCATGAAAGGAGACTGTATATAAGAAACATGTTTATCTGAAAGGTCAGACTGGATGATCTAATGGTCTTTTCTGCCCTTATAATCTGAGTCTGTGCAAAACAATTTTTTTTCTAAAATATATGAAGAATAGGACATCATTTACACAGAACAGTGAATATGTAATAAAGCTGAGGGTGCAACATCAAGTCACATGTGATCCAAGATTCTCACAGGGTACAGACAGAAGTGCAGCTCCCAACTGTAACTCAGAACAATTTTTGCAAAGTGTTCTGAGTTACAACATTACCCCAGACCAAACAGAAGTTCACTGTTGGTTCCAGAGGGAAGGAGAATCTAGTTGCAGGCTGGGAGCCTATAGCTAGTTCCCATAGCAATGACCAGGGCTCTCTGCCAGTGCTCCCAGTTTTCAGAATGGGAAGGTAGAAAAGCAGAGGAGGGAGCTCATTCTTGGGGCTCCCCAGCTGGTGTCAAAGGGTGGGGTGGGTTAACTGGAGCCACCCCCTACCTCATGGAGGCTGCAATACACCTGCCCTACCCTCCAGGGGACCTGAAACCTGCCCAGACTGACATTCCCCACTCCCTTTTCCCGCTCCCATTCTGAATACAGCAACAGGCTGGGAGCTCCCAAGACATAAGTTACAAAAGATGCTACATTTAAAATGTCTTTATGTGATACTTCATGCAATGAGGGGTCAGATTTTCACCTGATCAGCCATTTTTTCTCTGCAACCATGTACTTGTGTTTGGTCACAGCTATAAACTGCTTTCTGTGGCTAGATCAGGTGAAAACTGTCACATCTGCCTACACCCACAGGTAATGCATCATTTTGAAATCTGTGGTTCCAACAGGGGTCTTATGAAGAAAGCACTGAAAGTTTATAACAAGAGAAACGATGCAGAAGTTCTTATTGAACAGAACTTTACATGAAAGGTCAAATTTGAAGTCAAACCTGGACTAAACTTTGGAAGAAGATAGAACCAAAATCTTGCAGCTGTTTCTCACAAGGTATCTGCCAATTTGAACTACTTCCAAACTAGATTAAGAAGTATGGCTCACTTCCACTTTCAAGTGAGAAGATGGAACTAAAACCATAGACATAAGTTACACTCTAACCTCATAATGGCAGCAGAGTCTCCCAATGCCTGAAGAAGGGTGTGTGCGCCCGAAAGCCTGCAAAAACCATTTTTCCAACTTTTTAATCGGTCTTATAAAATGATATCACATCTACCCAAAGAACCTTGCCTGTATACACTCTAAACCTTGGCATCAACACACAAAAGTTTGCAGGAAACATCAGTGGAATCTGGAGCATGAGTTTAGAACCATTCTTGATGATGTGTTCCAAATACTTCACACGCAGTGGCTAACCAACAGCTACTGCTCTGACTTGCCACATGCTCAAGTTTTACTGTCTAAAACTAAGTTACTGGTGCAAACAGGTGACCTCATTACATGGACACTCCCCTTCTTTTCTTTCATACTTTTACCTTGTACCCTCTCTCATGCTTCATCTCTGTCTCTCGCTCACACACACCCATCTAATCTGATCCAAGCCATTATGTATGGATTGAACATTTGCAGCTTCAGATTAATTTGACCCTACTGTTTGCACTTGCAATAACTATAATGCTCTCCTTTCCTTTGTCTGCCCAACATAAATTATCATTTCTGCTTCATTTCATCTTCATTTTATACTTGCTCTTTTCTTCTTGCTCTTGCGTCTATCCTTCGGTATTGATCCTGACCCCCTATACAAACACAGACACTCCTTCTCTCTCACAGACACACACCACTCACACATCTTTTTCCTGTACAAGCTATATGACTTCCTTTGCCTTTAATTCTTTCTGATCAAGGCTGAAAGCCAAAACATTGCATCTAATGGACAGAGCAATATTTTACCAAGCTTTTACTTATATACTGAAAATCAATGCTGCACAAAAATTGCTCTGTTAAGTGAATGCAAGACAGACTATTCCTGGTTTATTCTAGTTCAAGGGAGCTGCAATGAAGGGAAGAAAGATTATATATACCAAATTGTCTCAGCTATCCTCTTTATCATTATTATTGCCTCCATTTTCTACTGCATTTTAGAGTATATTCTAAATGGAATATTAATATTACGTTTTTCTTCTTCGTGAGAGTTAAGATAATTTGAGATAATTAAGGGAGAGGGGAGTAAGAGAATCCATTGTGGGGTTATACGTCTCCAAGGAAGGTTTTAGTTTTGCATTTTAGGTCTGCTGAAAAATATAAATGCTTCAATTAGTGTAAAAATCAGAGGCTGCCTTTCTCATTAACAACTAGGCCTCTAACCTCTCACCTCCTCCATTTCTGAATCAGAGGATTTTAAAATGAGACTAGTCACATTTTTTCTTAATGCAGGGTGTGCTTAAAAAGGAAACAGGAAATCATCAATCTTTTTTTAGAATACAATTTGTATCCAAAAAAGGCATATCCTCAGAAGCTGGGGGCCTATTGCATGTGATAGAAGAAATGGCTGCACTAATGTAGAGTATTACAAAAGGCTTGAAGCCAAGATAAGAGAACTATGTCTGAGATTATGGGATGAATATCCGAAATCTAAATACTTCATGTTTCATAAGAAACCCTGTCAATAATAGGGGGTGAAGAAATGAGAAAGTTTCTCTGCTATGCAGTGCTATCCTACAGCTAAAGCAACCTGAAACCTCCTGAAGGCTGATTACAATCGATTCATGCGCAGGTGGAATGCTAGAGATCTCTCTTCTCAGCCTTTGTACGGAAAGATTTAGTAGGAGGGTTTTTTTTATTTATTTATTGAGAGATTCTTATTATAGTGGAGTTCAATACTCCACCAGTCCACAAGTTACTCAGTGAGGCACACTTATATAAATGTGTGATGTATATGTTTTGTATTGGACCAAATAAATCAGTTAAGAGAGTACAGTAACCATCAAAGAGCCATTATGCACACATTCATTTCTATTTTGAAAGGATAAAAAGAGCTCCCTGGCAAATGATTCTCTCTCTTGAGCGAATAAAAGCAAAATAGCAATGCAAAAATACCTGGACCTATCAATAAAAAAAGTGATCAGCAGTGTCATTAATCATTATATTATCCATCCCTTCTTCAGATTGCCCGTGGTAATGCATCATTTGCATTAAAGCTCTGACCCGAGATTTTT